GAATCAGGAAGAGAACAGAACAGAATAGAATAGGAAATAGAAGAGAAAAGAGAAGAGAAGAGAAGAGAAGAGAGAATCAGGAAGAGAACAGAACAGAATAGAATAGGGAATAGAAGAGCAGAAAGTCAGGAAGAGAACAGAAGAGAATCAGGAATAGAATAGAATAGGAACTGAGATTGAAATGGAATGGAATGGAATAGAATAGAAATAGAATAGAATCAGGAATAGAATAGTAGAATAGAATAGATAGTATAGAAGAGAAGAGAAGAGAAGAGAATCAGGAAGAGAACAGAACAGAACAGAATAGAATCAGGAATAGAATAGAACAGAACAGAATAGAATAGAAACTGAGAATGGAATGGAATAGAATAGAATCGAAATAGAAGAGAAGAGAATCAAGAATAGAATAGTATAAAATAGAATAGAACAGAATAGAATAGAATAGAATCAGGAACAGAAGAGAATCAGGAAGAGAAGAGAATCAGGAACAGAACAGAACAGAATCAGAAATAGAATAGAAATATAATAGAATAGAATAGGAATAGAATAGAATTGGAAGGAACCTTGGAGGTCTTCTAGTCCAGCCCCCTGCTCAAGCAGGAGACCCTATACCATTTTAGACAATTGACTGTCTAGTCTCTTTTTAAAAACCTTCCGTGTTAGAGCACCCACAACTTCTGAAGGCAATTCTGTTGCAATTCTATTCTGTTGCACTGATCAATTATCTTCACTGTTCGGAAGTTTCTCCTTCATTTCAGGTTGCTTCTCTCCTTGATTAGTTTCCAGCCATTATTTCTTGACCACCATCCATTTGCTTTGACTGTTAGTAGTTGAGGTTCTTGTAGAGACTGCTAACAAGCATTAAACCTGCATAGCAACCCCCTTGGCTATGAGAAGTACGCTATGGCTGGAAGTACCCTGAAGCGCTGTCAATAAATAAACATATAAACTTAAAACAAAAATCAAAAGGGAGTCTGAAGCCCTTTAGAAATCAAAGCTTAAAGCAATGTATCAAAGCAGCTCTACGTAGAAGGGATGCTCCCCTGACCTTTGTGGAGCAGCGTTGATCCTCGATCATCCCGTTCGTTCACGCTGATGATTTTATTTTCTAGTAGCATTCTTAGGGTGTCCAGGTCCCCTCTGAAAGCGGCATCATGCCCTGGAAAGCTTAAGTCTTTGCAAAGAAAGAGAAAGAAGAAATCCATGAATCGGAATCATCTCTAGAGAGATGTACACAGGAGCTTGGCCTAAAAAAATATTAGCACTTGGAAATCAAATGTTCTTTAATCTAAACTTTCTCAGCTTGACAGCCATAATAGCTAGTCATCTCAAGGTTGTCAGAATTTCCAACAAATATGTAAAGGTGGAAGAAGAAGAAGAAGAAGAAGAAGAAGAAGAAGAAGAAGAAGAAGA